CCCGGCCGAGCTATGTAATCTAATCAAGCTCTACTCCCTATGGAAGCTGCCCTAAAAATCCAAAAGGACAGGTTTGGAGGAGCTTCCTGCTTGGTGAAGAACACACCCCCGTGCCAGGAGGGTGGAGCACCCAACTCCACAGAGATAGAACCCCTGCGCGTGCGCGGGGCACTCCCGAACCTCGCCCTATGTATTCCTTCCTCTGGCTTCTCATCTATAACCTTTAAAATACCCTTTGTGGGCCGGGCGCGGTGGCTCAGGCCTGTAATCCCAGCACTCTGGGAGGCTGAGGCAGGAGCATCGCTTGAGGTCAGAAGTTCCAGACCAGCCTGAGCAAGAGTGAGACCCCCCCACACACACCCCATCTCTACTAAAAATAGAAAAAATTAGCCAGGCATGGTGGTGTTCACCTGTAGTCCCAACTACTCGGGAGGCTGAGGCAGGAGGATTGGTGGACTCAGGAATTTGAGGTTGCTGTGAGCTAGGCTGACGCCAGGGCACTCTAGCCTCGGCAACAGAACAAGAGTCTGTCGCAAAAACACAAAAATAAATTGATTAATTAAATAAAATACCCTTTGTAACAATGGGTGAGTGTAAGTAATGTATTTCCCGAAGTTCTGTAAGCCGCTCTAGAAACCTCCAAGTTGTAGGCAGTTGGTCAGAAGTAAAGGTCACAACCTGGGACTTGTGATTGGCCTCTGAAGTGGGGGGATGTGACAAAAATTCTCTGCTTGGCCAAACTTTTGTCATTCCCCTGAGGCTTCTCCTAGCCCCATGTTGCACTTGTTTGAATTATAAAATCCAATCTTAGGAAGTACCCCCGCCCTCACTGTCTAACCTTGTTCCTCATCCGCCACCATCCCAGGCGACGTCTGGCCACCTCAGCCTGCCTTCGGCAAGAATCTCCCTTTTCCATGATATTTCTTCTCATTTTTCATCCACCGATCCGCCACCCTGCTCCTTGGCTATACATTCCCACATGCCCGTGCTGTATTCCCGTGAGGCTTAAAGAATTCTCCCTCCTCAACTTCCATCCAAACCTCCTATAAAACCACCACTCTCCCCTTCCTAGGGGTGTATTAGGCACCGTAGCCTTTGCCGGCCTAACTCCTGTCCTCAACCCGGCATCCACGTCACTCACGGTACTGCTGCTTTCACGGCGGAATTCTGACGAAGATGGCTGTGGATTTTTAAAGTGGTTATGCGGACGCACTAAATGATTTGGAACAATATTTGAAGCTGCCGCACTTTTTATGGAGGTTAAGACAATCCCGGTCTCCCAGGTGATCTGCGTGGAATAATGTCTGGCATAAAATGAAATATCAGTGAGGGCTGGCTGTTCAGTTATTTCGGATTTTGGAGAAGAGCGGCCCCCCCGTGAAGTTGGAAGGAGGCTACACAGTCCATCCAAAGTAATGGGCGGCAGAGCGACTCTGTAAGGTCCAGGACGTGGATAAGTTTAAGGACAGACTGGACCCAAAGAAAGCATCTCTTTAGGTTCACAATTGTTGCCATGAACAGAATGAGTGCTAACAATACGTTGGGAACGCAGACAGGGAAGGAAAGGAAACTAATCACTATCCCACTGCCTCTCCATCAATGCCTGTTCTGGACGGCTCGCACCCGCGGGGATCACAGATGAGATCATTCTCATCGCCATTGCCCCACTCTGTCTGCACGGGGACGGAAGCGCAGCACGACCGGGCAGGGCCGTGAGCTCAAACAGCATCTCCCAGCGGCGCTCAGCTTGGCAGCTCTCCCTGTCCTGCTCCTCGGCCCTTGCCTTATAGAGGAAGATCAGAACGCTGGTGTGGGGCTGGGGACAGCAAACGGGGATCGCCTCGGACTGACTTCAGCTGGAAGTTCAACGGTGAATGACCAACCGTGGTGGCAGGGACTTCTGCAGCCCCACCGCGAGGTGAGAGAGGGTGGAAGGATGGGCAGCACCGCCCCCCTCCGCCTGGGGAGCGGGGCCCCCCACAACTTCCTGCAGGTCTGTCTCACTGGCGAGGACTCCGCTCTGCACAAGAGCAGTGCGGCTGAGGCCAGAGGGCCGGTTTGGGCAGAGGATCATGAACGTGGTTCTTCCCGCCCTGCTCTGCCCTGGTGAGTGTTGCAGAGAAGTGTCAGGGACAAACAGAAGAATGTAGGGGCAGGCCAGGCAGTTCCAGGGGGCTGGACTGTTCTCACTGGTACTTTCTTCTAGGGCTGTGTCTGTGCCGGAAAACTCAGAAACTCAGGCACAGGAGGGTGAGTATTCCTTTTTCTTTCTTTTTTTTTTTTGAGACAGAGTCTCACCCTGTTGCCCCAGTAGAGTGCAGTGGTGTCATCATAGCTCACAGCAACCTCCAACTCCTGGGCTCTAGCGATCCTCCTGCCTCAGCCTCCCAAGTACCTGGGACTACAGGCGTGTGTCACCATACCCAGCTAATTTTTTCTATTAGAGACGGGGGTCTCGCTCTTGCTCAGTCTGGTCTCAAACTCCTGACCTCAAGCGATCCTCCCTCCTCAGCCTCCCAGAGTGCTAGGACTACAGGTGTGAGCCAAGTATTCCTTCTAAAGTTCCTGAAGTTAATCTGGGCACAGTGGTGTGGGCCTGTAGTTGGGAGGATCACTTGAGCCCAGGAGTTCGGGGCTACCGTATGCTGTGGTTGCACGTGTGAATAGCCACTGCACTCCAGCCTGGGCAACATGGCCACACCTAGTCTCTCAAAAAAAGAAAAAAATCCTGAAATCCCTTCTGTTGGTTTAAGCCAGATACCAGCTCTCTTGGCAGCTTAAAAGTGGGGACTCGGGATTTAGAGTGTTTAGAGCAGTGGTTTTAAGAGGGGAGGAAGTAGAAGGATGGTGTGAGCACTAGATATACCTGTAAGCCCATTACCTGTTCGAACCCTTCTCCCAGGAAACCTCTCCTGACCTCACATCACAGCCCTGCCTGGCTCCATGATTCCATCTAAGGACCAGGTGACCATCCTGTGCCGGGGCCCCCGAAGCTGAAGCGTAGAGGACACGGCACGGGAGAAGCCCTGAGCCCTCGAACAGAAAGGAGCCGCTGGTGCGTGGGGAGATGAACACATGGAATATCTCACAGATGCTGCCAGGCAGCGTGGCTGTACCACTGTTCCTAGCAGAGCAGACGCCACCGGTCTGAGCCCAGCACCCCCCAGCAGCTGGTGATGACCTGTGAGTGGACCTAGAGGCAGCAGATCCAGGACTGTCCTCTGAAGAGGGAAGAGCCAGGCTTTGGGGACAGGAAGGATTCAGGGATGGAGCACCCTCTGTTTGTCCCCCAGGACAAGAGGGGGTAAAAACCAGAGCCCTGTCAGCTCCCAGAACAAAAAGGGACAGAGAGTGTACACAGCCCTCCCCTTGGTCACCAAACTTCCTTCTTCCCGAGGAGCTTACGACAAACCCTCCCTCTCAGTCACGCCTGGTGTGAGAATGTGAAGTTGCGATGTTTCTCAAAACTCAAATTTGGTGCATTTATTCTCACCAAAGAAGATGGATTTCACACCACCAAGAATCAAAGCTCCACGCCCCAGGGGAGGGGACGCCAGACTGTCCTCCTCATGGACCACATCACCTCCGAACAGGGGGGACCTACAGGTGCTTCGGTGTCATGAGCGCCCCGATGTGTGGTCTCTGCCCAGTGCCCACAGGAGCTGGAGGTCAAAGGTGAGGAAACCCCACCCCACCCCATGTTCCCTCCTGGGTACTGAGGCTGCCCCATTAGTGACTGTGGCAGGGAGGACTCTCTGCTTCCAGGTGAAGCCCTGAGGGGCTCCCGCCCCCCACCGGTGAAGGAGCTCTGCCCCCAGCGTGGGTCCTTGGGAATACCCAGGTCGTCCACAGACAGCCGAAAGAAGGAAAACCACTCTCATATTATCCCCATTTGCAGAATTTCCTGGCAGTCCCAC